AACTTTTTCCCCTGAAACTGTCATAGCCAGGGCGTGTAGGGGGTGGCCCCACCCACCCTTCCCCAGGCCAATGGGAGCCGCTCTCCCCAATTAACTGCCCCCCCCCCCTCCAAGCCCAAATTATACAGATTTCCACCTCCGTTCTTCTCCTACCGCTCTCCTCCCTATATATAGCCCAAACCTTTCAATGTAACTTTAACTTGATATAAACAAAACCTTATATCTTACGTCTTTTCCAGCCTTTTCAGATTATCAATCCTAACCGACGTCCGTTTTCCTATGATTTTTTTAGAAAGGCTATTGAATAATACGGAATATTCAGGAAATCTCGACGAACCTAATTCAACTTGATAGATCAGATAAAGAAATGACAAGAAAAATATGATAATAAGAAGTGAGCTTTAAATCTCAACGTTTTTTATTTCCAACATCAGTATGTTGTTCTCACATCAATGAGTTCTAGATGTGATCTCTGACCAGGTCTAGCTTTTGTTTAAAAACAAAAAGAAGCACAACTTTTACGAAAAGTTTTTCTGGTTTCAATGTAAACCAATCTAAAGACATGGCTAGACAAATAAACTAATCTGAGTAAATTGCATTGAGTGGCCACTAACCTGCTCAAGACAGGTTACTAAGGCCATCTTCCTTTACTCACTTTATTGTTAAAAAAAAAAAAAAGCTTCTACTCAGTTGTTAATCATTAGAGACCAGCTTTTACTTTGGTGAAGCGCAACTCATAAAATTTGCAATTCAAGAGCTTTACAAATATGCTTCTCGTTGTTCACAGCAGCAGCTTTGTTTCAACAACTTGAGTCCTCGCCAAAATTGTGTCGAGTTCTTTTCAAGATCTCTTCTCCTGCAAGATATTTTAACTGCTCAAGTATTGCAAATACAGCAATCATCCTATGATACGCTTACAGGAGTTTAGCTAGGGCATACAGTACAAGAAACAGTATATTTTTATTTGGGTTTTTGTTGTGTTTACAACTTTATGTTTACAAGCGTATTAAGCTGCTGGGATGGTCGTACTTTGGTTACGTGGTCTTGATGTTTGTTTCTCGATTAAAGTTATTCGGCCATCCGCCAATATCTTGGGAGAACATAATAAGTTTTATTTATGACTTGTAGATGTTCTTTCTACATTGCAATTTTTTTTGTTTTCTAATTCATATTCCTTTGTTACAATGTGCTATGCTTCTCCCTCTCTTTCGATTGATTATCAAGCGATATTATTGATTATCGCTTGATCGGGTGCATGAGGATGACTTGCCAGGATAAGTACTCAACAGTATGCCTTCTATTTATACTAATGGTGAATATGCCGATATGGTGTTTGTATACAGTTTTTGCAATGCTAACGCTACTGCTGCCCGTCGTGAATATGTCAGGCGATTTCCGAATAAAAGATTACTTACCAAGTCTATCTTTAGCTCCACGTTTCAATGTCTTAGAGAAACTGGTACCTTTGCTATAACACCATGTGCTAATGGTATTTTTGCCCCTTTAGGAAATGAAGAAAAGAGTGCCACCATATTACAATATTTTGATGATAATCCCTTTGGCAGTGTATGTAAGAGCTGGAGCAGAATTAAATATTACGCCAACTAAAGTATGGCGAACTCTTATTACAGATGGACTTCACCCATATCATTATCAAGGGGTATAGAATTTATTACCGCAGATTTTCGGCAAAGATGAAATTTTTCAGATTGGTACTTAAATCAAGTTGAGCTTAATCCACAATTTTCAGGAAAATTCTCTGAACAGATGAACCTACTTTTACAAGAAGAGGTATCTTCAATAAAAAAAATAATCATTTCTGGTAGCAGAAAAATCCCCATATAATTCGTGAGCATCAATTCGTCAGCACCAGTTTCAGTGCAATGTGTGGTTAGGGATAATAGATAATATTTTAATAGTTCCGCATATCTTGCCGCCTCGACTCAATGCGGACACATTTCTGTAAAATCATAATAATGATTACTATGATTTAGTTGAACATATTCCACTACAGCTGAGAAGGGACATGTGGGCTTCAATTAGATAGTTGTCCCGTACATTACGGAAGATGTCTACGACCATGGCTAAATGTTATTTATCCCAATCAATTGATTGACCGTGCAGAACCAGTGGCTTGGCACCTGACACCACTGGATTTTTTCGTTTGAGGTGACATTAAGCAAAAAGTCTATGCTAGTCCGCTCAATGACATTAATTCCTTACTAAGAAAGATAATTGAATCTTGTGAAACAATAGCACATATTCAGTGCCGTTCTGTCACTGCTGCTGTTGAAGAAATATAACGAGCCTGTCTTAATCACTTTGAACAACATTTAATATGAATTTAATGTTTAAGTTTAATTAATAAAGTAGTTGGAACAAATAAATAAGTTATATTTACTTAATATAACGTAAATAATTCATAACAATCAAAATCTGCAGGTGTGGATATCTTCTAAACAAAGCGTTTGCGGACGTACCTTCATAGGAATTTTTTTCTTGTTTTGAGATCCTTAATTCAGATTTTCAATTTGGCCACTTAACCCTGAAACACCCTGTGTATATACCAACATTCCAAAAAAAAAAATCTGGTGCGTGCAACACACAACTTTCACTTACCGCTCAACTGAATAGAAATTATTTCTGGCCATGTTGGCTATTATAAAATCTTTGAATGCATTTTTAACTGAGCTAAAGCTGACAGATTACAGCTAACAAATCATTAATACTATTAAAATAACAAAAGTCCTATTTATTGTATCACCGGTTGATTACGGGTTGTAGGATTGGTTGATTATGGATTGTACGATCCTTTGATTATGGATTGTACGACTATTAGTTATTAAACTGTTGTTTCCATTGCAAAGTTTACTAAACCGGAATCATGAGATTTGCATTGTTTTTCATTGACAGGTCAAAAGTTGTCACACTAATGTGGATTCTGTTATATCGCAAAAGGAAAATTTATCAAATTATTCACTAATTTAATTTTCTAAAAGGTTACATAATGATTTTTCGGAAAAAACGGACGGTATATTCCTAATTATTTTAAATATAATATCAGATCTAGAGTTATTAAACTACAGTAAATATATTTAAAGTTATAAACGTATCCACGAAATATTTCACTTCTTCGTTCACCCAAGTACAATGAAATAATATCTTAAACAATGTCATTGCCTTCAATCCGTGGGTTTTAAATACTTTTTAAACTTAAAAAAAAAAAATTAATAGTTTACATTTAGTAATAAAATTTCATTTAATTTCTTTGAAAACACCTGATTTATATTAAATAATGTTAGTTTTTAGAAATTATTATTTACATACCTGGATAAGCATTTTTATTTTTTTCTCCTTTATTCAATTATTAAATTCTTTCAAAAGTTATATTTAGCAATTTTTCCTAACTTTTAATAATGGAAAATAGTTAATTATTTGAAATGAACCATATTAAAGGTACTTTAGAGGTAGACGTATATGAACATTGGGCATTTAAGCCCTGTAAAGTGACATCGACGGGGATAAGACCTAAATGATATTAAAAACCACATAATTGTACAATGATGTACCGAGATTAATCAAAATCTTTAGAGCCGTTTTTGAGAAAATTGTAAAAATGTGTTTCAGCGTTGATATAAAGTGGCACTTCCGGTTAGCCGATTTTAAGGAAAAACTAGGACATCTAAGGCATATACCTATCCTAAATATGTAATATCAGTTTCGTACAACTTTTCGTTATCGAGCTAGAGTGTTCACATACACACAGACCATTATTCGGGACTTGGTTATTTGGACTCAGGGTACCTCAAAACGTGTATTTCAGTTACAAACTCAGACTCGAAAATTTTCACGACCGCAATACATACCCTTACAATATATTACATATATAGGTAAGTTAATGTAAAAATATCCCTCGGATCTTAAACAGTGTATGTGAAATTGTCATTAGAAAAATTATAGATCACATTCAATTATACTTGCTGTGGTCTGTTATACGTGTTCTCCTTTTTCCTTGGTTTAAAGTTTCCTACAAATTGATACCCCACAAAAATATGACCCCTCCGTAAAAATGTGCTCTCCTCACAACTTGTGTCAGGTTACCCCATAGATATCTCTCATTCCCATAACTTAATTATATTGAATCATAGTATAACGATAACCAATGTTGCTGTAATTTCTCACATTATGTCATGTTACCAATGAGCGTAACTCTTGCTCTTGGAGAGCAAGAAAATAAGTGTCAGCAGATTCCGTACAATAGTTTACTCTTCCATAATAATTAATTAAAATAAAAAGTTTTTCAAATTAAAAATTGTATTTTTATAGTTTGGTTTTTTTATTATTTATTCGTTACATACGCATAAATGATTTTTGAAAGGAAGAACATCTAAAATCGATGGATACAGATTAGAAACTCATATGCAGAATCCATGTGACAATTAGGAATAATAATGTATCATTGCAGGTATATACATATACGTTAATGTTATAGACGAATATGGTGAAATGTACCGAAAGCTTCATTTAACGAATAAATTATAAAAAAATGAAACTGTACTAAAAAGATATTCTTCTATTTTCAAGAAAAATACCCAGTCTACCTATTATACAATTGTATTTTTATTTTTTTGTAGTGTGTTACTTTTATAATTCACATTAATATTGGCTAATAAATATTGAGTGGTTGATACTTCTATTGTGAAATATCTCGAATCTTCTCTGAAATAGCTCTTGTTTGGTACTGCTCAAGAGCTAAAATGTAATAAAACATTTAAATGTATGTCGCATTAGCGTTCCTTTATGGTCAATAGCAATTATTTTTGAGTGAAAGGAAAATGAGAAATAGTCTTCCCGATAGTTCTATAAATGGCTTCCTCAACATCTCAACATATTGCAGCTAATAACGCTCCAACTCGAGAAGTGATTTTATGAATACTAACCCTCGCTTTAATTCAAATACTCACTTTACAGGATATTGTTTTCTTTATTGATCCTTCTTAATGGGCCTCAGAAGTCTCCTCAATCAGCTTCGGCTACATTTTCATCTTCTATCCGCCCACTTTTCTATTGCTAACTCGCAACAGGTAGAGGCTACCAGACCATCTGTCCATCTCAACTGCCCCCTCCCAGCTCTACTTCCATCCTGTAACGGCTACTCTAGGAGGAGAGTACTCTTTTCGGGATTTCAAATCTCTCCCTCCGAGCCCAACTTAACCTTCCTAATTTTATTATCCTGGCCACATAAAGTTCATTAAGCAAATCGTAGACCTCTCTATTCTTCCGAATTCTCCAAGTCAGTCCCTCCTTTACAGAGCCTTTCGTCATTTATTGTTAAGGTCCATGTTTGACTAGCGTAGGCAAGAACTGGCCGGATGAGCGTTTTATAGATCTGCAGCTTCTTACGTCTATTAAGTAGCGAGCTTCTCGTGTGTTTAAGTAGGCCAAAATAGCATCGCTTGGCAGCTGCTATTCTCGGCTTTATTGCAAGAAGAGTCTCGATTTTTGTCGTAATTTGAGATCCCAGATAAAAGAACTGTTCAACACTTTCAAAGGTGTAAGGGCCGATTCTTTGTTTTTGGGGATTCTCTCTTTCTCCTATATACATATTAATATGACACAACGCACTAAGTGGAGAAGTGATTTTCTGATGAATGTGTTTTTTCAGGTCTGGTTTTCGAACCGAAGAGCAAAGTGGCGGCGAGAGGAAAAACTGAGGAACCAGCGAAGAAGTGGAGAGCCGGCGGTGGGTCCCTCTTCAACCCCTCCGCGGCTCAACCCGCCGGGGTTCAACAGCATGTACTCCTCCATCGGGCAACCTATCTCCACCGTCTCCGCTGACTCCTACAGGTCCTTACCATAATACCATATTTCTTTTATCTTTTTATAACAGATTACAGATATATTTTCATATTTATCAACATTCCGCCAATCAGTAAAAGATACCAAGTTTATGGAAAGACAAGCCAATTCCTTGGCGTCTTCAAGTTATGGTACTGTTATTTTAATGAATAATGTTTTGTTATTCGAAATGTTTTTTTGGTAAAAATTGGACAATTTAAAATAAAATTGTCCAGTAAAAAAATATTTTTATTCTTAAAAATTTGAAATCTATCAATGCTTAAAAAATCCTTAATTGAATTGTAGGACACAATTCATCAATTTTCTATTTCATTGTTTATATTGTAATTTTAAACAAAATTGAGTCTAGTTGGGTTCATATTTATGCACAGGGGCTCAAATAATTTTCAATATATTTTCAAATATAATTATAGTGTATTTTTTCTGAAACATTTTTTATTCCTCAAATATTTGTAGTTAAAAAAAAATGAAAATTTTCTAATAGCACTATTTTTGGACAGGATTCCTTTAAGTACTTTCTCTACCTGAGCGGTATCGCAGATTCATTCTTGTTCATAATTTTGATTTGCTTTTAGCCATTTGGGAGTTGAAGCAAACTCTGGTAGTATGGCGTTTTTCCCAAAAAGAAATAAATCGTAATCCATTTGATTCATTCCAGTCCAAATATTGCCATTTTGATACTATGGAAGCGACTTTGGTTGACAGCTTTCGCCTTTCGTCTAAAGATGAAATTTTTCTTTTTTTTTTTTTTGCAGCTCAAGCCTCTCATCGATGAGCAGCTCGTGCCTGCAGCAGGCGAGGGAAGGGTACCCTTACATGTTCCACGACCCCCTCCACTCCTTGTCAACTAGCTACAACAGCAGAGTCTCCTGCAACCAAGCTACGCCCTACTCCAACACACCCGCACCTCCAACACCAACAACTGGTACAGGTAATCATTCATCTACCGCTCAATGTCTTGTTCCTTAAGGCATCACAATTAAACTTGCGGTCCAGGTTTTCAAAAAGTGCCGAACTGTGCGTTGCAAGATGAATGTGTTAATCTATATTATGTTTCTTCAACAGTTATATACTACGGTGCATGCATAATAGTAGGCTCTATTAGGTATCTCTGGGTTTTTCCATCAAGTGCCATATGTTTATATATTAGTCTCCTCGGTTACTACAGGTAATATAACCAGAAATAAACATATCATATAATAGTTAGTATTATAAATGTTAAAGATTTCATGTATACTGCAAGTGTATCCTAAAATTTGTTTTCTCTAAAATTTATTTAGTGAGAAATATTACAGTCCGCCTTGATTAGGGTTATTTATAGTAGTATAGTTATATCATTACAGTATAGTAGTGTTCAGAGAGCACATTCACTCTCTAGGAACAATAAATTAAACAGCAAAATGATATAACTAAAACTGAATGTATATATATATAAAAACTTATCAAAATAACAACTTAAATACAAACATACTTTTATACAATATTTAAAAAAATTCATTCACTCAGGAGCTAAGCCTTTCCTCCACTCGTGGAAGGAGAGGCAGAACAATAGGAGATTCCAGCACCTCTTAGTCAGCCGCATGACTGGTATTAAGGACCAGTCCCTAATATTAATATTAAATTTCATGTTTATAATTTGTGTATTATAGTTGGCACAGACCAGCAACGTAAGACCTGTGTGAACATACAAGGCAACGAATATGATCTTAACAGTATGAAGACGTACTCCTAAATAATTTTTTCCAAAATATATCGTTCACTACTTTCAAAGCTGAAATAAAAAAGATGCTTAAACTGTTTTGGTACTCTTCAGAATGGTTTTGGAAGTATTGACAGATAACAAACAGATAATGCCAAAATACAAATTGGATATGGCAAATAACTGGTTGCACTTTTAAGTAAGAAAAGAGAATTCAATTTGTTCTAAAAAAAAAGGTGAAGTTGAGGTTAGCGTAGAGGCTGGGCTGGTTATTGTTTCCGCTAAGGAGCTTTGTCGGTGTTAGGCCGGCAATCCCGACTTCCTACCATTTCTGATTCATGGGGCGGCTTTATCATCATTCTTACATTCTATGGGTGTCAAATACTATGGAGGGCATATTCTCCTGGAAAAGGGTTTATTTTTATCGGTGACAATGGGCAGCATCTTTACTCTCAGGAAGATGGCCCTGTTTGTTTTTTCAATAAGCAAAACCTATAAATTACCAGGAATATATACCACATTTGTACAAAAGTTGGTCGAAATCAAGCATTTAGGTTGTAAATCTATTAATGTAAAAGGTTAAAATAATGATCCATTTTTTACTTTATTGCTCTTTGTAAACTCTCCATGGAACAAAAAAAAAAAAACCTCCCTCCAAAAAACATTCTTTTTCTCCGATATTTTAAATTAAGTTTACCTATTAAATTGATCATAGGCATAATAAATATTACATGACTACATTATTATTTTGTAGAACCTATTAATGATGTTTATTACAAAGTGTTTAGAATTAGGACATAATAGGAGAGGTCACAGCTTAGCCCGCAGTGCCTCAGCGTTTCTTTAGAATATAAGATAAAAATAGAATTACTATTAGCATTAAAAGCATGTTTGCTTTATTTAATTAAAATTTGTATAGGCTATCTTTTGATTATAGAGATGGGTATAAATTTGACTGTTTAAATTGTAAGTATGAAAAATGGTGAAGATGTGGAGTGGAAAAAGTATATTTCAACAAGGTTGCAGACATGGTGACCATTTTTCATTCTTTCAATTGACCGAAAGGCACGTATTCATTAAGAGGTTATTTTATATTAACTGGATGATTGACCGTTGTCCTTCTACGCAGGTGTCATCTCAGCGGGTGTGTCCGTCCCGGTCCAGATTCCCAGCCAGGGGCCAGAGCTTCCAGCCAACTACTGGCCACGGCTTCAGTGATCCCAACTATTTGGCTTTCATCACCACATCCTGATGGAGGAAGCCCACAATGAGTGAAGTGTTGTGTACAATTTTTCCAAACATCAATTTCCCGGTACTATCTATAGTGCGGTAGCTAGATCGGTAACAGGGTGTCAGTCACCAAACACAGTTCAGGATTCTATTTTGTTAAATATTTACGATTAATAAAAGGCTCATACTAGCCATGAGCAAACAGAAAGAGCAATAATAATAATAATAATAATACATAAAGCTGTGAATAAATGCAACCTTTGTTGCAAATGAACATTAAACGTCTACCATCTCTTTTGGGGTCTTTTAAAAGAGTAATATTTGCAATGATTATTTCTATTTTCCAGTAATAGGTGATCTTTGATAGTGTCAAGTAGTGTAACGTTGACTTATGAAATATAGTTTAAAATAGGTAGAAATAACAGAAATGTTGACTTGTTTTATTCCTGCAATTTGTGGAAACAGCTTTGTTTTTTCGAGGACGGTAAAATTACGTCTAGAGATATTTGTAACCAATCGATTATTTACTACTAGATGTGATTAAAAAATCGTTTCTGGGTCATTATTCTTTATCGCACATTCAGATGTCTAATAAAGAGTTGTGGAATTTCGATTTTTACACCTGGAAATTTTATCTTAGGCAACATCGTCCCAACTTGAGGACCTTTTTACAACGTAAGAACCCACGAGAGCCATTTCGTAACAGATATTTCTTGATAAAAAATTTATGAAACAATTTGTATTTATTTATATATTAAATAAGAAATTGTAAACTAAAAATATTGTGTCTAAGCTTAATTTCGTTATAAAACAACACATTGGAATAACTTTTGATTTTTGTTTTTAAGTATTCCGGCCTAGGTGGAGGTTTGTATTCATTCGCGCTCTTGTGTTTAACTCGTTCAGAAAATAAAATACAACAAAACAAAAATAAACATAACTTCATCTTATATATTTGACTGTATTTGTTATCCGTATTGATAATGGAGAAGGTGGTCCGAGTAAGGGTAAAAAATTCTCACAAAAAAAATGATAGAAATAATTAATTTCTACTGCTCTTTGTGTTTTGTTATTACGACCATCATATTCTTCATTAAATTTTTTTTTAATATTAGAATCGCAGTTAGTCCTCAGTATTATTGATAAATTAAACTGGAAACTGAAATTCGATTGAGAAAATAATAAATGGAAGATTAATGTACAATTTTAAATTTAAAATGTAGTTATTTTTTGTTTTATATTTACACAAAATATGTTTGATTTTTTATTATTTTCATTTAATTATAGCGCAGGTTATTGAGTTATAAACAAAGGAATATATAGGTAAAATAATGATAGTTTCGTTTTAAGAGCATGAGAAGTGAGACAATTATGGCCTTTGTATTTAAAATTCATATAAATTGTGAGGAAGCATATACTCTACAAACTAATGTACTTTTATAAAATCACTAAAAATAATGTATTAGAGATGAAAGCGCGTGTTCATGTGCATCTTACTAAAAAGTATACGAAAATGTTAGCTTTTATGTGAAATGTTTATTTAAAAAGAATTTGGTAAATTGTTCAGCTTTCTTCCTTCATTTCCTTCATTGAGGCTGTGTACTGTGTAAGTAAATCATTGCACAATTTAAACACAACTTTTTAAAAAAATAATGTTAGTGTTAAAAAACAATAAACCCAATTACAGAAACAGTTCTTAAATCGAAAACTGAATTAGAGTTAATATTTCTGTTAATTTCTGTCCCAATGCTGGAATTACTGTCAAATAGTAAATATTAAAATTTTAGCAAACGGTAGATTTCATATTCTTTTCTTGTCTAGTTCTGCTATTTCTTTTACTTCAATTCGATAAGGGTTTCTATTTGATAAATTATAGATACGAAATAATCGATTCGTTATCAGTCTTAAATGTTCATTTATTTATTAAAATTAAAATTGTGTTCCATGGAGAGCATAATTATGTATATTTTTTGAAGATTAAAATATTAATATGAATATAAGTATGCTTAATATTGTAATTTAAAAGAAAAAATGCATAATAATAATTACAAAGCTTAACAAAAATCTTTGTAATTTCAAATGTTGTGTATTTTTGGTCTATTATACGGTGTATATTATTTAGGTGCTTAGTTGATGTGTTTTCTTTTATGCTTATTTATAAAAATGAGACTCGATGTTCCTTTATTGTAAGATTATATTAGTTTCTGTAAAGTTATGTCAATGAAGGCGTTTTCGTCAATGTAAGTAACATTGGTGCATCATTACTGAAGAAATGCCTGTAAATGGTAAAGACAAAAGAAAATGTCCTTTAAAATATTGTTCTGTATTTCAAGCATTATGGTATGATAATGTATGACCAGACATTTTATTTTTCTGTATTTCTGAGTTTTAAAAAACAGCATCAAATCATTTTGATGTGATTTTTTAAAATTTACAACAATGTTTATAAATACTCGAGGTTTATTAAAGATAAGTTCGCATGACTTATGTGGTGTATTACCCAGTTTGCAAGTTATATAGTGTAGCTAGTAATGATTCTTTTATTCATATTTTTAGAAATACATTATTGTATTTGCAATTGAACATGATGAAATCTTTGTGAACAAATTTGAGTTTAGAAAATAGAAAAATATAATATTGTAAATAACTAATAAAACATTTTTGTTAATTTTTTTTTTTTTTTTGGCATTTCTTCAGACTTAGAGTGATTAAAAAGATGTCATTTCATTTCAACACACTTATTATTTTTTATTTAACTTTATTTTAGTTTTACGTACTACTCAGTTTAAAAAAACAAAACTTATATCAAATCAGCAGGTCAGAAATATGCTGCACAGCAATTGATAATTGGCATGAATATTTTTATACAAGTGAAATGACAAATAAACTACCTGATTAAGATAAAAGGGATAAGCCCCAATCAAAATATATATAGCAACATTTGTGCATTTATATTATTAATGTGCTAGGAATAGGAACATTAAAAGCTTGAACAGTTTAAAATTTAAAAGATAATTATCCGTTCAAATGTAATAATAAAAAAGGTTTTACATGATTGAAATTCATCAAAAGGGTCAAAGTGCAAAATTTTACTCCCTGTTCGTTGTTATATTGTATATTAAAATGTTTTAGTGTCTTAATCAAGAATGTTTTGTGAAATACTAACATAGAAGTAGTTTGTTATTTATAATTTTATTTCTGTGATTTATTTAACGCCATATTTCATGATCTTTATATTTTTAGTATTAAAAACCAGAAATATTACTATGTAACTGTATATTCTAGAATAGATACTAAAAAAATAAGTAAAACTATAAAATAAATTTAGGATATTTCAGATATAAAATTTATCTTTTGATCTATGTAGATTTTCTATACCTTATAACGTTTACAAAATATTTTCAAATAAAATTGTATTTATAAAAAGCATTTCCCCTTACTCGGCTCTCCAATTTATAAATTCTAGCTCTAATTTGACCTTCCCATTTTTTTTTTTTTTTTTTTTTTTTAAATGAAAGTTTGGTAAGCTCTGACAAAGCATTGATTTGAATATCCTGCTCCAATGCTTTCAATGTTATTGTTTTAACAATGTCAATTTAGAACTATTCAGGTTTTCGAATTCGATACATCCCACCATCCCGGAGAAAACAACTAAGTACATGATGTCTGAAGCAAATACTTGACTAAGATACCAGGTTTACATATTAACGATTACAAAAAGTCTAAATAAAACACAAACAAAAAACAACACAAAAGCAGTAGGCACACATATGATTCAAGAACTAACTGATTTGCAAAAAGTGAAATTTGCCGATAATGTATGAATTACGCAAAACAATTATTTATAGTAGGCTATAGCTTACATATATCTTTTTTATTGTAATCTTTTTTATTTGTAAATATTCCACTCTGTCATCTATGAACAATAAGGGATGGTGATGTATTTCATGATGAAATATGATGTATTTCATTTTCATTCTTACCACATGTATAAAAGAAAAATAAATTAAATAAAAAAGAATATTGAAAAATTCCACAGATGATATAATTACCAGGACTTATAAATGGTTAGGATTAAAACTGATCAAACAGGTAAGTTGTAGTTATATTTATATTTCACAATCTTTAAGTTTAAATAATTGTACATAACGGATTGGTCAAGCACTGATTTGAAATTCAAACCTATTACACTTTCAAACTCTTGAGTGTGGTATAACACTAACATTGCACTGTGGTGTAACTTGAAGTACGACGGATATGTCAATTTCTTATTGTTAGAATAAGTAAACTTATTTGTTCATTATTCAATGGTATTAATTGGGAAAAAAACTCTTCAATTTAATTTCTCAAACTCAAATAACTGTGTCAAAATTTCGTTGATGACCCTAGGGTTTTACGCCTAAAAAAACTCTGTCAAATTTTTAGGGTTAAAATAAAACCCGTCAAATTATCCTTATTTTTCTTATTAGACCTGCTATATCCTGATCTATAAGAATCTTTAATTATATTTTGCTTATACCTGTTGAACATTTTCTGCTTAGAATTTCATTTGGGGACTAGTATAAGGTGACCAGACGTCCCGCTTGTTAAAAATTTATCCCGTCCCCGCGTCCTTTTGAAAAAGTCCCGATTTATGGAAAGAGTGCACGCCACGACAAGCTAGGAAACGGCAAGAGAACAGAAAGAGAAAATACGGTTTTCGGCAGCCTTCGCTGATCGGCGGATTTAGCGAGAAAATGGGTTGTATATTATTTTTGTTCATTTTATAATGTTAAACTTTGATAATAACGAAGAAGGCAGTGCATCAGCTGATGCGAAGGTTGTTTTCTCAACTCGCCTCTCAGTTGGCCTAAAATATTTTAATATTTGTATATTTTATATTTATATTTATATATTCTTGCATATTTTTCAACGGAACCTCTCTGATTATTCACTGAATCTAGTTCAAGTGTACATCAGAGCAGTTGATATTTACTGTTTGATATCTTATTTTAATTTTCAATTTTTTCCTGTTTTTTTTTCTTTTTTCTTTTTCTACTCT